AGAGGAAATGACAGATGATGACAAGGGAGATAAATGGAGGTGACAGAACCTCTCTCTTCCACCCAGGAACTAGAAGGGAAATTTATGGCATCTTATGATTCATGATCTGTGTGGCTTTGCTAAGTTACTTTTCATTTATAAAAGCGAATATTAGAGTGCGACTTTTAAACTCTGTCCCCTATAAAGTCCTAGAGCTCTACATATGCCCTATTGAAATTTAATTTTGTTTTTTAAAAATTTGGTAATATTTGTGCACGGAACTAAAGTATGTTGAGGAGAAAAAACACCCTCTTCAACCATCCAGTTCCCCTCTACAATCGATGTTATCAATTTCTTCCAATGCCTTCAACAGACAGGAAGAAATCACACTTTAAACGAAAAAGAAAAATAATCTCCTTGCCTATGTGATACACAAATTTTAAAATGAAGCCTACTAAATCCTAGGGCTACTGCCCTTCCGCAGCTTGCAATCTAATCACGGAGAGAAATTAACCTAAGGAGAGTCGCAAACGGTGTCAAAGAGCATGAAGGAAACTGGGAGATGTTAGGAGCTTGCCCAGGACCTCTGACCCACACTGGGGAGTCAGGGACAGCTCAGAGCTGGGGGCGACTAGTGAACGCTAACTCCCGTGACCGACATAATGTCTCAGGCCGGCGACGTCCTCACCCTTGCTCCTCATCCCCGGGATCTTTCTTTCAACTGTCCTCCTCACGAACGAAACAGCAGGCGTCGGGGGAAGCCTCCCAGAGGCGATAACTCTGGGGATGCGGGGCAGCAGAGGTCCACAACCCAGCAACCCAGCTCCATGCGGACGCCCGCGCAGGCGCCCCCTAGTGACGTCAGGCGGCGCGACTCCCGCGATGCTCCGCGCGGCTTTCGAGTCTGAGCGACGGCTACAGCTGGGAGCTGTGTTCCCACGCGCTGTCTGGACCCGACGGACAGGTGGCCCAGGCCGCGCGCGCTGCGGCCGGACAGCCCGGGGCCTTTGATCTCCCTCGAAACAGGGCATGTCACTGGCCCAGGGTCACCTGCGGGTGGCGAGACTGCCGGGTCGATTCCAACGCCTGACTTTCGCTCCCCGTTTTCACGGAGGAAAGTGAGGATGTCGCCAAGGCCGGCCGCAAGGCTGGAGGAGCAGTGCAGTTGGTTTCCACCGGCCTCTGGACTAGGGTTTGGCGTTCACCGGCGATTCCTCCCTGACGTTGTACCCAAACTCCCTACCCCGCAGGTCCTACCCTGTTCGATTGACGAACTGCAAGTGACTGTGTTACAAAAGAACTAAGCGTTGGCGAAAGCTCATGCTCCAGAAGGTCCAGGGTAGAGGTCGGGGCCGTGGACCTGGCCGTGGTGTGGGTGCAGCCCAGGGTCCCAGCACTGTCCGGGTCTCATTTCCCTCATCAGGAACACAAGGGATTTAGATTAGATGGTTTCTAAGAGACCCAAGTTCTCCCACTTTGCAATTGTATATGTGAGGACACAGCTGGGTGGCATGAGCCTGGACAAACCCAGGCAGGTTTGATGGCCCTGTCCTTTGGTCTGTCGCCGCACATTTCTCCCAGTGACTCAGGAGGGAACCCTAGAGTCATGCAAATGGAACATATCTGTCATCCCCCAAAACTTCCTTGTGTCCCCTTACGGTTCCTTCCTCTTCACAACCATTGTCACTTTAGATTGGTTTGTGATTTCTAGCGTTTTCTATGAATGGAATCATACAGTATGTCCTCTTTGGCTTCTTTCAGGATAATTATATTGAAGTTCATCTATATCGTGTCAATAACTTAATTGCTTTTTATTGCTCAGTAGTATTCTACTGCATAGATATATTTTATAGCTATGATCTGTTTATCCAGTCATCTGTTGATGGACATTTGGGTTGTTTCCAGTTTGGAAGCTCTTACAAATACAGTTATGTAAAAGCTTTGTATGGACATATGCCTTCATTTTTCTTGGAATGACTGGGTTATATGATAGATGTATATTTAAGCTTTTACGGAACTGTTTTCAAAGTGGTTGCACAATTTTACATATCCACCAGCAGTATTTGAGAATTCTAATTGCTCCCCATCTTCACCAACATTTGGTATAATTAGTCTTTTTAATTTTAGCCATTCTAATAGGTATGTAAATTTCATTGTGGTTTTAATTTACATTTCCCTAATGACATGGTATTGACCATCTTTTCATGGGCTTTCATCATAATATATTTTGAAGGTAGAGTTTGAGGGTAGAGTCAATAGGATTTACCGACAGATCAGATGGGTGATGTCAGAGAAGAACCAGGAGCGACTTTGAATACTGGCTAATTCTTGAGTACTTCCTAATCTTCCTTCTCCCTGCCATGAACTGGCTGTTCCTTGTGCCATTCCTTACATTGCAAATTGCTAAATCTCCCAGCTCTGAAGAGCCTTCAAAGACCCTGTTTGGTGGGCACTCACAGCCCTGTTAGGTTATCTTCACCCTTATAGAGCTAATTTTCCATTTATTCATTGTCTCCTTTACTAGCTGGTGAGCTTCTGGAGGACATGAATGGTTATATTTTCTCATTATGACTAACTACTGGTTGCAGTCCAGCCTACATCTCTTTGGCATATTTCACAAACAGTAGGCTTTGCTTCAAGCTACTAGCCCATTAGCTGTGTGATACGGGCAATTTACTTAATGTCTTTGTGCCTCCATTTCCTTAACTTTAAAATGTTACCTGCCTCACAAAGTGATGAATATTACATGCAAAATGAATGTAAAGCTCTTAATATGGTGCCTGGACATGGTGTCTTCCCTAGTAAAGTCAAGCTATTATTATTTTGTGATCTGAATATTTTGCTGGTCCATTTCTGGAACTCAAAGCGAGGTGCTTTGCCAATAGTTATTCATGTAATCTCAATCTTTTGAGAAGTAGAAGGCATTTTCTCCTTAGAGTAGTCCAGTTTTTTGAATCAAGTAATGGAATTGCTTTCCCACCACTGAGATCCACCCTGCTGTAGAAAATGTCCCATATTCAGTCCTGGTGCTTGGCCTCTCATGCCTATATGGCCTTGTTTGCTGCCTTGACTCTGCCTTCTACACTGATGTCCCCAGGGGCTGGGGGTGCAGAAGGGTCTGAAAAACATTCCTTTGTTTCAAAATCTCTTTGATGTTCCATATCTTACAGGACACAGTTCAAACTCTAGCTTTCTAAGTCTTCTCAGTTGGGGTCCAAGCCTTTCTAACTCTCTAGCCCAAATGTTTGCTTTATAACATTTAATTTGTTCAATCAAAATTTGTAAAAACCCCTTCCGTGAGACATACCAGAAGCCAGACATTATGGTAAAGATCTGAAGCTAAAAATGTGCATGTGGGCTGTCCCTGCTCTTGAGAGAACAATTAAATTGTAGGTGGAGGAAGTGTGGTGACAGGACAGGAATGATAGGAGGGTGGTCAGTAGGCAGAGGGGGGAAGATGCTAATCAAAAGGGCCATGTGATCCTACTTATCAATCAATCAGTGTTTGTTTTGTGTCCAGCCTGGTGCTGGACCCTGAGCATTCATTTAATTTCATTAAAAAAAAAATTTTTTTTTTGACAGAGTCTTGCTCTGCCGCCCCAGCTAGAGTGCAGTGGTGTCATTGTAGCTCACTACAACCTCAAACTCTTGGGCTCAAGGGATCCTCCTGCCTCAGCCTCCTGAGTAGCTGAGACTACAGGCGTGCACCACAACGCCCAGCTAATTTTTCTATTTTTAGTAGAGATGGGGTCTTGCTCTTGCTCAGGCTGGTCTTGAATTCCTGAACTGAAGCAATCCTACCATGTCAGCCTCCCAGAGTGCTAGGATTTACAGGCGTGAGCCACCACACCTGGCCTAGCCCTGAGCATTTAATAAGTAGATTTGACCCTTATCTTCCCAATATGGGGTCAGGCCCTGGGTCTGGAGCCTAGGGTGGGGCAGATTGCAGAATGATCAAATACCTGGAGCCTCCCTGTCCAAGGGGGGCCATATCTAGGAAAAGTTTTCCAGCAGAGTTAAGTCTGTATTTTATCAATCCAGGGCCCAAAGACCACTCCCAGGTGTGGTTGCACCCAGGCCGCCGGGAGTCCTCTATCCAGCGGGTGTTTGTTGGCATGATGATAATGAGAGGACACACGTGTGGAGATCGCTAGATTCCATCTGGCACCATAGTGATCTCCCTGCTGCCTAACTCAGGCACTGACTTCAGGCTCCTCTGGCTCTAGGGTATTGGCCAACTGGCCCCAGTTCCAGGTTCCAGGTGGACTCTGCAGCTTCTCCCTGCCTCTTGCCTTGGGCAAATACTTGCCCAAGCTGCCAGGGTCTGCCTCTCCCTGAAATGGAACTAATAATCCATATGAGAGTGTGTGCTGTGTGCAAAGCAGTTTCCTGGACCTCAAAGACAAGTGTGAAGGTGGCTGAAGAGTCACAATTGTAATAGCTAACGGTACTATAGTACTTATTTGCCAGGGACTGTGTTTTACTAATATTAATTAATTTAATCCTATAACCACCCTACAAAGTAGGTACCAGGGTAGTGATTAAGAGCATAGACTCTACAACTAGACAGCCAGGTCTGAATCCCTGCTTTGCCATTTACTAGCAGTGTGACCTTGGTTTTAAGTTCTAGAGAGGCAAAGTCCGGTTTGCATTTAAGGAGGGTCACTCAGAGACTGGAGAGGAAGCAGACCGGGCGGTTCGAAGGCGCGGCCGGGTTTAGGTAGGGGTGGGGGCCGCTTAGGCGTGGGGACTGCAAGGACCACAGAGTGGCTTGGACTACTGCGGGGATACTTCCTGGCGATTTCCTGGGCTTGGCTGTCACATCCTTGCGCCTCGCTCCTTTTCCTCAGTCATCGCTATGTGGGCTACTCCTGCGCGGCCCCAGAGGGATAGAGCCAGACCTCAGCCACATGGCAGGCCGCTCGGAGCAGTAATTCCCCTGTCGTCGGCGCCGCCCTGCGTTCCACCGGTCCCCGAGGCTCTGGGCTTGTGCCGCACCCGCCGGTCCGTAGGCCCCGCCCCTCCGGCCCCGCCCCCGCGCTCGCGCGCCAGGCCTGGGCGGTGCCTACGCGCTTGGCGGGAGATAGAAAAGTGCTTCTGCGCGCGCCGGCGGCGGCTGCAGTTCCTGCGAGCGGGCGGCGCGGAAGCTGCGGACACGCTGACGCCTCCGAGCGTGGCCCCGGGCCCGGAGCGGCCGGAGCAGCCAGAGCAGCCCGCGTCCTGACCCCGGCCCGGTTCCCGCTCCGGGCTCAGCCGGCGGGCGGGCGAGCGCGGCGCGGCCCGGGCCGGGGGGATGTCTCGGCGGGCGCGCGGGTGAGCGGGGCCGGGCGGGCTGAGGGCCCCTCCCCTCCCCCTCATGCCCCTCTCCTAACCGGGGGCATGGGTGGGGGGAGGTCCCGCGGGAAATGCTGCGTTCTGGGCCTCTGGAGCCAGGGGGCGCTCGCAAAACCGCGGGGCTCTTGGGGACCCTCACGCGGCTCCCCCCGGCCTGCCCAGTCTCGGAGCCGGGACGGGCGGCTCTCCTGGGACCCGAGCCAAGCCCTGCATGATGTCATTTTGTCTCCCGCCTAATTGCGGGGTGGGGGTGGGACGGCCGGTGTCAGCTGGAAGGGCCTTTACTGGGGAGGGCGGCGACCCTGGAGAGGGAGAGCGATTTTCCCAGGTCACAGCTAGTGAGGCCAAAATCCTGGGAGACACTCGTCGTTCAAGCCTAGCTTTGGCTCAGCTTTGCGGGTGGGCATTTCTTCCCAACATTCCGGGAAGCACAGAGCCCTGCAGGCCCTTTCCCCGGGACTGAGAAGGATGCAGAGGCGGCGGCTCTTTTGTCTCTATCGTCTGGGTTCCGCGCCCACCTGGGTTTAGTTGAGACCACCTTCCTGTTTCACACGAGGAGTTCTGGGCAGCTGGGGTTGAAGGTGAGGGGAAGAGAGACTGATGTGTATCAGGACCGCCCTGCCTGCCAGCAGCCCCTGGGGCAAAGGCAGGAACTGTGGTCTCTATTTAACTTATTCCCCAGAGAATAAATGGTAGCGTCTAGCCCGGGGCCGGGTCTGTGGGCTCCAGTTCCCTTTCTTACACCTGTGCGCCTGGGGCCTGAGCCCTGGACTTTTCAGCCTGTCTGGGAGACGGGACAATGGGGTCCCGCCCTGTTCCCTTCCTGCATTTGTGCAGTGCAGCCCCCCAGATAATAGAGCCGTCTTCAGATGGTGTTGTTTGCCTTCTCAGGCTGAGGATGTATCTCTGGGCAGCTTTCGTTGCTGGCTTTCCCCAGAGTTCCTCCCAGCCAGGAAGCGTCTGATCCTTGGGCAGCAGTCAGGGCGCCTGGCACAGGGACTGTGTTCCCCAGGGCAGCTCCAATGCCCAGGAGGAGTTTTCTGGTCCGGCACCTGTCAGACTGTTTTGATTTTTGATCCAGGAGTGACCGCCCACCCCTAGAACACTCCCAGGTCCTCCATCACTTCTCCTGAGGCCCAATGAGGGAGCCCCCTCTATGTGAGGGACGGGTTCTGCGCCCTGGCACCCCCACAGCCCTCAGCTCATTTCTTGGCCCCTTGCTGTAACTCCCCTCTGCCCCAGTGCCCCACTTCCGGCTTAGCTCTGACTCACTCCAGCCCTGGAGCAGAGCCCAGCACATTGAAGGGCAAAAGATAGGGGATGTTGGACCAGCATGTGTTCGCCAACACCAGCTGGCCCCTGCTTTTGCAGCTGGATTATGAGGTGAGGACTTGCAGGTGTGGAGTTAAGGAGGCGCAAAGCCTGGCTTTGTGGACTTGGTAAATGGCATAACCTCTGTGAGCTTCAGAGGTTTACACATCTGTTAAATGGGAATACTGAGAATGCGTGTTAATTGGATGGCTAGCACATGTGAGTGATAGAAGTGTGTAATCTCACATCGTTCTCCTAGCTGTCTGAGATGGTGTCCCCATTAAACAGAGCATTGGAGCACCAGAAATTGTCTACACAGACACCCTTTCATCCTTGAAGGAACATTTGCTGAGCTTTTATTAGAAGCCAGGCCTTGTACGGGGTGCTGGAGAAGCAAAGATGTTTTTTGTCAGGGTGGAGTCTGGGGGTAGTTAATTTCAAAGCCAGCTGCATTCTATTATTAATGTCTTATAGATTTTTGCCTCCTGCTTTGCAACAGTGAGGGACCCATGAATTGGGTCGGGAATGACAGGACAAGGCTGAATTTTAGATCCTTCCGGAACTGATGTATCGCTGGGTTTAGACACCATCTCTTCCTACTTCTAAAAAATTTAATTAGTATTTCTTATTGACTAATAGACAGCAGCTTTGCAGATTTGTTCACTTTTTTTTTTCTTAAAAAGAGATGGGTCTTGTTCCATCACCAGGCTGGAGTGCAGTGGTGTGATCATAGCTCACTGTAGCCTCAAAATCCTGGACTCATGTGATCCTCCTGCCTCAGTCTGCTGAGTGACTGGGATTATAGATGGGAGCCACTGTGTCTGGCTTATTCGTTCTTGTATCTGGTCATTTCCTGGGCAAACATTTCTTAAGGCCTTTTGAAAGGCCCAGGGATATGGAGGTGGAGCTGACCTTTGTAGCAGATGAGGTCAGGGAGACAGGCAGTTGCTGCTTGAGGGCCTGAGACGGGAGGGTTTCCAGGGTGCAGTGGGAGTGACTCAAGGAAGCAGTGGTGAGTTCTGGAGAACAAGGAGAAGGTACGTAGAAGGAAGGAAGCCCTCTTTCTTCTTTTGGGCACAAGGCTTCTGCTTCCCTTGCTTATTTGGACATCTGTAGGCTTTTCCCAGTTTACAAGTGCCTGACCCTAGGAACTTACCTGACTGAGGTGACCTGATACAGATCCTAGCACACGGAGTTGGGGGAAGGTTACTTACTGACCTTCTTCTGGCACCTGATGTCTCTCGAGGTAGATAGTGTGATCTCCATTTTTCTAACCCTTAAACTGGATAAGTATGAGGACTTTTGGGAACAACTTGGAAAATTGCCTGTTAAAATAAAAAGATCAGGTCGGGCGCGGTGGCTCACGCCTGTAATCCTAGCACTCTGGGAGGCTGAGGCGGGTGGATCGCTCAAGGTCAGGAGTTCGAGACCAGCCTGAACAAGAGCGAGACCCCGTCTCTACTAAAAAATAGAAAGGAATGATCTGGACAACTAAAAATATACATATATAAATTAGCCAGGCATGGTGGCGCATGCTTGTAGTCCCAGCTACTCAGGAGGCTGAGGCAGAAGGATCACTTGAGCCCAGGAGTTTGAGGTTGCTGTGAGCTAGGCTGACGCCACAGCACTCTAGCCCAGGCAACAGACTCTGTCTCAAAAAAAAAAAAAGATCAGGCTGTGCTCAGTGGCTCACACTTGTAATCCCAGCACTTTGGAGGCTGAGATGGGAGGATCACTCAAGGCCAGGAGTTTGAGACCAGCCTGAGCAATATAGCAAGACCCTCCCTCTACAAAAAAAACAAAAACAAAAAACTGGTGTGGTGGCCCATAAGCTACTTAGAAGGCTGAGGTAGGAGGATCACTTCACTTTGAGCCCAGGAGTTCAAGGTTGCAGTGAGCTGTGATCATACCACTATACTCCAGCCTGGGTAACAGCAAGATCCTGTCTCAAAAAAAGAAAAAGAAAAATCCAGAATTCAGAGCAGTTCTTTTTTTATTTTTATTTATTTATTTTTTTGAGACAGAGTCTCACTCCATTACCCAGGCTAGAGTGCCGTGGCATCAGTGTTACTCACAGCAACTTCAAACTCCTGAGCTCAAGCAATCCTACTGCCTCAGCCTCCCGAGTAGCTGGGACTACAGGCATGCGCCACCATGCCCGGCTAATTTTTTATATATATATTTTTAGTTGTCCAGCTAATTTCTTTCTATTTTTTTTTTTTTTTAGTAGAGACAGGGTCTCGCTCTTGCTCAGGCTGGTCTCAAACTTCTGAGCTCAAAGGATCCGCCCGCCTTGGCCTCCCAGAGTGCTAGGATTACAGGCGTGAGTCATCACACCCAGCCCAGAGCAGTTCTTCTATGCTGATTTTTCTCTCCATTAAGTATGCCGGTGTAGGCAAGGATCAAAAGGGATTTGCAGGAGTCAGGTGTGGTGACTTTACCTGTAATCCTGGCACTTTGGGAGGCTGAGGTGGGAGGATTGCTTGAGGCCAGGACATTGAGACCCTGTCTCTAAAAAAAAAAAAAAAAAAAAAAGTTAGCTGGGTGTAGTAGCATGTGCCTACAGTCCCAGCTGAGCCAGGAGGATAGCTTGAGTCCAGGAATTTCAGGTTGCAGTGAGCTGTGATCACGTCACTGCATTCTAGCCTGGACGTCAAGAGTGAGACCCTATCTCAAAAAAAAAAAGAGGGATTTGCAGAAATGGGCATAGTTACTGAGAGAATGTATTTAAAATGTTTTTTCCCCCAAATAACTAATATTTCTTTTTTTTTTTTTTTTTTTTGAGACAGAGTCTCACTCTTTTGCCCAGGCTAGAGTGCCGTGGTGTCAGCCTAGCTCACAGCAACCTCAGACTCCTGGGCTCAAGCAATCCTTCTGCCTCAGCCTCCCGAGTAGCTGGGACTACAGGCATGTGCCACCATGCCCGGCTAATTTTCTCTATATATTTTTAGTTGTCTGATTAATTTCTTTCTATTTTTAGTAGAGACGGGGTCTCGCTCTTGCTCAGGCTGGTCTCGAACTCCTGAGCTCCAACAATCCGCCCGCTTCGGCCTCTCAGAGTGCTAGGATTACAGGTGTGAGCCACCGTGCCTGGCCAACTAATATTTCTTAAAATCCTGGTGCTTGATGATTACTTATATGATCAGCTTTCATCCTTAATATATCCATGCAAATTTAAGTTTGTTATTGAAAAGAAAATAATAAAGTGGCAATCTGGTTTTGAATATAATATTCTTATTGAAATTTTAACAATCTTTTCTTGTAGCTTTTGAAATCATTACAATGTTCCTGAAAACTAAAGAATAAAGAAGAAAACAAAAATAGCTCATAACCCATTTCATTAAAACATTGGGAGAGTGGAAGTTACCTGTGCTTTCAAAAACAGAAAAAATAAAAGCCTGCCTCTCCCAAACCATCCCATAGAGTTGGCTGGCCACTGCCCACATAAAAGCACGTGGACACACTGTCCTTGACCTTTACCTTTCTCTGCAGTGAAGAGCCGGATGAGCTGCACTACCAGGACACAGATTCAGATGTGCCAGAGCAGAGGGACAGCAAATGCAAGGTCAAGTGGACCCACGAGGAGGTGAGTGACATGGTGACTCCATGCAGCGGGGAGGCTGGGTAGAGACCTGAGCCTGGGGTGTCTGCCTAATGTTCTGACAGATGAGGTGAAGGGAAGGAGCCAGTGAAAGAGGTGGATGGGTCCTCTGGTTCTTCCCGATGCCTCTTCTCAGAGCTTTCTTGGGGACCCAACTGTGAGGGCTCAGGGGAGAATGTGTCTCTCAGACCTCAGGGCCAGCACTTGTGTCCCGAGAAGCTGACCTGTTCTGCATCATGGACGTCAATTATGTTTCTTGCCTTTTGACTGCTAAGAGGTTCAGCCAGATCTGCAACCCCTTCTTTCCTTCTTTAAAAAATCTAATTAAATTTAATCAGGTGACATCAAGCCCTGAATTGATTTTCTGCTAGCCACATCTTTTTATTCTTTGATCAACTTTATTGAAGTATAATTCATATGCAGTCAAGTGCCCCCTGTTAAGGTGAGCAGATGGATCACTTTTGGCAGGCGCGTATACCCACCTAGCACCACCGTGATTATCCCAAGAAGTCCACTGTGGCCCTTTGTGGTCGGGCTTCCCCAGCGCCAGGCAATTGCTGATGTAATGCCCCTCAGTTCAATTTGTTTGCCCATTCTCGAATGTCCTACCCATGAAATCATACGGTTGTATTCTTTTGTATCTGGCTGCTTTTGCTCAGCATACTGTTGGGTGATTCAGTAGTTGGTCCATTTTCATTGCTGGTAGTACTCCATTGTGGGGATTATAAATATGTTTCAACCATTGATAGACGTTCAGACTGTTTCCAGTTTTTAGCTATCGTGGACAGCTCTGCTGTGAAGATTCTTGCCTACGTCTTTTTGCAGATAAATATTTTCATTTCTTTTGGGAATATAATTAGGTATGGTGATGGGAAAGATGTATGTTTAATTTTATAGAAACTGAAACCCTTCTCTTAGTTGTTTGTACCATTTTAGACTCCTCCTGGCCTTATCTTTTATTCTACCTCAATTTTCCTTGATGTGTTTAATTTTAGTTCTGGTTTTTTTTTTTTAAACTTGCTGATCAAGTGGTAAAACCCTCTTAAATCATTAAAGATGTTTCTTCAGACAAGTGCTAAGCAAAAAGTATATATATATACACACACACACATTTTTTGTGTGTGTGACAAAAAAAACCACATAACTTTAAATCTACCCTTTTGCCAATCCTTAAGTGTACATTTTAGTAGTGTTATTTTCCCATTGTTGTGCAACAGATCTCTAGAACTTTTTCATCTTTGAACACTGAAACTACACATTAAACATTAATTCCCTCTCCCCGCTTTCCCCAGCCCTCGGCAGCTCCCTTTCTCCTTCCTGTGTCTGTGATGTTAACTTCTTTAGGTGCTCACAGGAGTGGAATCATACGGTATTCGTCCTACTGTGACTGGCTCATCTCACTCAGCATAATGTCCTCAAGGTGCATCCGTGTGGCCTGTGTCAGGATTTCTCCATCTAATATTCCATTGTATGTGTAGATCACATTTCCTTTGTCTACATATTAAAACACATCAATGCAAGAAATACTTTATGTACAGTCAACTACAGCTGTTTATAGTACAAGTCTATGATTTTCAACAGATGCGTGTATACAGCCATGAAAGCACCAGCTCTGTGAGGCTGTAGAACATTTCCATCACCCCAAAACATTCCTTGTTTCCCTTTGCTGTCCATCCCTCTCAGACAACTGCTGACCACCTTTTTGTCCCCATAACTTAGTTTATTTTTCTAGAATTTCATGTGCATGGAATCACACAGTGTGTACCCTTTTCGGTCTGGCTTCTTTTCACTCATCGTAATGAAACTGAGATTCATGTTGTGTGAATTAGTTTATTTTTAGGAGGGCAATTTGACGCATACTGTTTTGCTTTCTAACCACTCTTGATTCTGCCCAGGTCTGCCCATCTGCAGAGGTGAATGACTGTTAGCTCTGGCCAGGGTGCAGCCGTAGCTTCCTAACGCTCACTCTGCTGTCTTTCAAGCCAAGCCCTTTCCCAGCCTGTGGGGAACTTGATGACAAACACGCTGGGCCATGACTGCCCACTGCTCAAACACACCAGTGGCTCTGCGTGATGTGGAGGCCTGAGCGGTGCTGCATGTGGTCTGGCCCCTGCCATTGCCTCCCCTCTAAAGTCATCTTGCATCTGTCTCTCACTTCCTGCGTTCTAGCTATGCTGCATTTCCTTTGAGCCTGTCCCTTGGTCTCCCTGAATAGGCAGTCACCACATACCTCTCCATGTCCCCCAGCACGGGTTGCTTTGTTTTTCTTCATGTGAGCCTTTCATTAGCATCTGCTGCTCTCTAGACCGCAAGCCCCTTGCAGCTCTCTTGCTACCCACTGCCGTGACTGCAGCGCCTGGCACTCTGCCCAGCACGTGGTAGGTGCTCACTTCACGACTGAACACGTGCAGGAGGCCGATCCGTTTGGAGAGGACGCAGCCACCGGCAGCTGCGAGGCTGTCTGCACGTGTCTGGGCTGAGCCCTCTGTCTCTCTGGTGCCGGCAGGACGAGCAGCTGAGGGCCCTGGTGAGGCAGTTTGGACAGCAGGACTGGAAGTTCCTGGCCAGCCACTTTCCTGTGAGTATGTCCCCTCCCCCTGGACAAGGGTTCTGGTTGACCGGACAGTTTGGCTGGGACAGACTTTCTGCCAAGGAGAAGAAAAGCGAGGTCCTCACCAAGTCCCCCAAAGCAAAACTAAATAAAACAAGACAAAATGACCTTCACAGGACCTTTCTTCCCAAACTGGCATTCGAGGCCAGGATGGAAATGTCTCCACACCACTGCCTCAGCACACCTGCTGACTTGCAGCCAGCCACACATTTGCATTTATTCCTGTGAGTTGGGAGGAGTGAGTAGGTGCTCGGTTTCTTAGCAGCGAGGCTGACACGAGGGGAAACGGTGCTGTCAGCAGGCGTCATGGTGAGGCCCCTGCAGGGCTAGCTGGTGCCACTACAGCCGAGCACTTAGAGCCTCCTGATGAGGAGGGGGCCCCGCAGGCCCCCACCCCCAGCACTGCAGGTGTTGGAGGGAGAGAGTGTGGCAGGAGCTGCCATGTAGCTTCCTGCCAGGGTCTTTCAGGCCATTCGGGGACCGAGTCATCAGACTCCTTCCTACCCAATTTCCTCATCTCCGCCCAGTTCTGTGTAATCTGAACTCTTCAGGGAATGAAAATGCTCTCCCAGAAGAAAGCAGGGATCCCTGACATACCCCTCAAGGTTTTTTACAGGGGGTTAAAGGCTTGCGATAGTGGCCTCCCTGTGTTCGGGTGGTGGGAGGTGGCTCCCCACAGGGACTTGAGTTTGGCCCTCTTTTGTAGCAAAGGGAAACCACCCGTGTTCTGGCACATGGGTGTGTGATATGTGGTGGGTGTGTGGAACAGGACACACCTGAGCTGTGCCTGGCCCCAGGCCCCTGAGCCCAGTACTCAACCAGGGTCCCAGCCTGCAGTGCCAGAAGTCCTCGCCGCACAGACGCCCATCTGTTCTTCCCGTTCTCTGCCCAGAACCGCACTGACCAGCAATGCCAGTACCGGTGGCTGAGAGTTTTGAATCCAGACCTTGTCAAAGGGCCATGGACCAAAGAGGAAGACCAGAAGGTAACTGCCAGGACAGTGCCTTGCACTCAGTGGGCATTTGCCCGCTGCCAGTGAATCCGGGGGCTGCGAGGCTGCCCTCGTGTTGATGGGGGTGTCTGGCTGAGCGTAGGTGTGAGTCCACTGGCCAGTCTGGATGTTCCCACTGCCCCAGCTCTACCCCCAAGGTCTCAAGACTCAGAGTGACTCCAGGCCTCCCACTCACGATCTGAGGGCTGCTGGGCAGATCACTTGGCTTCTCTTGCTCCCGCCGTAAGGGGACGGCGGTAGTGCAGAGTTGTCGTGATGCATGTAAGGGTTTGGTTTGCACGATCTGGCACACGGTGGGTGAACTCAGCAATCGCAGCTGCTGTCGTCCTCGATGATAATAGTGACAACACCGTGTGGAGTGTTTCTTTGGGTCCCCAAAGCAGCCTGTGAGGAGGGCAGAAGAGGAGTTGTTAGTAGTCCTGTTTTATAGGTGAGGAGATCAAGTCTCAGAGGGTGCCCTCAAGCCAGGAAGAGGCAGTGCCACGACTGTCTTGGGCTGGTCGGCAGTTCCCTCACCTCTGGTGCTTGTCCCTGATGTCGGCCCAGAGGACCTGGGGAAAGAGGGAGGTGAAGGGAACCAGGTGTTTTAAAATTAGTTTAAAATCCTTTTTTTTAAAAAAAAAAATCAAAGTGATAGTTGGTTGCTGTAAAAATTTAAACCACACAGAAATGGAGTAGAATATTTCTACTTGCCCCCAAATCTTCTTGCCCTGAAATGTCCACTCTTCCCGTTTGACTGTGGCCTGTGCGCACATGAGAATGTGTGTGTCTGTTGTCAAAGGAGGGGCCTGGCCTGTTGTGTTTTGTGTCCTGAGTGAGGGGCCCAGCTGAGGAGCCAGGCAGGGACTCCAATCCAGCTGGGTCAGCCCCCCAAGCCTGGCCCCAAGGCTCTGGGCTGTGCCCTCCTGATTTCCACAGGGGTGCTGGAGGGGCTCTTGGCAGCCTGGACGTGGCTGGGGGAGGAAGCCACGCCCCCTCTAGTTCGTGTGGCCTGGCAGTGGGGAGTGAGCCTTGGATGCTCCCGTGGGCAGGTCCTCCTTGTCCCTCTGCTCTTTTCTCTGGAGTGAGTTGACTGGATTGAGCCCTGAGGAGGGAGGCAGGACCCTGGCTCTTTTTTCTTTGCTTGAGTTCTGCTCTAGAGAAAGTCTCCAGCACTCTTGGCCTTGATTTATTTGAGGCAGTGAGTGACAGGGACGTGGTAAGGACCTCAGGCAGGTGCCTGTGGACTGCGTAGAGTCCTCCCGAATGGCCTCCTAACAACCACCTCAGTGGCTCCCATGTGGCCAGGCGGTGTGTGGCAGGTGGCACCTCTCAGGGCCATGGTGAGGCTTGTGGATGTGAAGGCGCTGTGGTGGGGGCGCGGGGAGGCCCTGCAGGCTTCACAGAGGCTGTTCTCCAAGGTCATTGAGCTAGTCAAGAAGTACGGCACGAAGCAGTGGACGCTGATCGCCAAGCACCTGAAGGGCCGGCTGGGGAAGCAGTGCCGCGAACGCTGGCACAACCACCTCAACCCCGAGGTGAAGAAGTCCTGCTGGACCGAGGAGGAGGACCGCATCATCTGCGAGGCCCACAAGGTGCTGGGCAACCGCTGGGCTGAGATCGCCAAGATGCTGCCAGGGAGGTAAGCTGCCTTCTGGGGGCTGGGGGCCTGGGGTGAGCAGGGCGAGGGTCCCGGGCGGTACTGTGCTCTTTTCCTTAACCCCCAGCCTCAGCTCTAGGCTCCTGAAGGCATGTAGTCAGGAGGAGGGGTGGTACCCCCAGAAAAGCCCTGACCTCATCAGCTTGAAAGGACAGGAGGTGGAAAGGGAGGCTTCAGCCAGAAACTGGGGGGCCTGGACCCTGGCTCTCACCTCTCCCAGCTTCCCATATCTTTTCCTTGGTCAGCCCCTTTCTCTGCTGAGCCTGTTTCTTCTTCAGCTGATATAAAACGGGATGGGGGTATGGGGAGATGGGCTTCCTTTGACAAGGAAAAAAAATCAAATAGTGCTATAAGCTACTAAAAGAATTAAAATGAAAAACATCAGTCCTTGTCTCCACTCTGTAAGTCACTCCACTAAATAGACTCATCACTTTTGAGTCCTTCTGGTATTCACCTGTCTTTATAAATGATGTACAATCTCATGTATTGGTCTTCTGCTATGGGAGAGTTTCAGACACGTATCTTTGGTTTTATAATTTTTGCCATAGCCTGAATGATACATTTGCTTATTTCACAGAGCTGTGTGTACATGCTCTGTCCATCGTTAAGGGCTAGAGACATGTGAGACTGCATCTTGGAGCTGAAAGAGATCTTGGAGTTAATCTGGTGGAGGCTTATTTGCAGAAACAGGAACTCGGCTCAGGGAGGTTAGTGATGTGCCAGTGGCACAGAGCTGGGGTTCAAATGTCCCCCCGTTCCCTCCTGCAGAACGGACAATGCTGTGAAGAATCACTGGAACTCTACCATCAAAAGGAAGGTGGACACGGGAGGCTTCCTGAGTGAATCCAAAGACTACAAGCCACCCGTGTACTTGCTGGTGGAGGTCGAGGACAAGGACGGCCACCAGAGTGCCCAGCCTGTGGAAGGCCAGGTGAGACGGCTGCCCGAGGCAGCTCAGCCTCTGGGCTCGACTTAGCTTGGTCTGTTTGATTTCACGTTAATCCAGCATCATCTCTTTGAACACCTCATTGACAGCTGTTGGTTAGTTTCTGCCACGGAGCCTAACAGTAGGTTGCGTGTTTCCGGGACATTTCCTGGTGACATGCTTCTGCACATAACTGGCACTTGTCTGCCCACAGGTGAAGGGTGACAGAGCAAGCTGATATATAAAATTGAGACTTAGTTTAGGAGGTTCTCAGCCTCCTCCTGTCCTTATCAGCAACTTCCTCCCCCTCCTTCTTCTTTTTTTTTTTTTTTGAGACAGAGTGTCTCACTCTGTCACCTGGGCTAGAGTGCCGTGGCATCAGCCTAGCTCATAGCAACCTCCAACTCCTGGGCTCAAGTGATCCTCCTGCCTCATCCTCCTGAGTAGCTGGGACTACAGGTGTACAACATGATACCTGGCTAATTTTTCCATTTTTAGTAAAGATGGGGTCTTGCTCTTGCTCAGGCTGGCCTCGAACTCCTGAGCTCAAGCAATCCTCCCGCCTCAGCCTCCCAGAGTGTTAGGATTACAGGCATGAGCCACTGCACCCTGCCAGCAGGTTCCTTCTTGTGTATTGCTCTTTCCAATCTTTTAAGTGGAAACCATGTTTGCAATTTTTAAAAAATCAGATATATTGAGGTACAATTTACGTACTGTGTTTAGTGTACAGTTCTGGGTTGTGACAAAAGCATATGGTGATATAACCACCACCACAGTCAAGTGTGTTCCTTTTCATCAGCCTTTTTCCTGCCCTCAGCTCCTGGCACCCTGATCTGTTCTATAATTTTGTCTTTTCCAGAGATTCATAAGTGAAATCATATAGTATTACATTTGTAGTTTTAAAAACGAAGCCAATATATGCACATGTTAACATCCCCATCCTATATCCCAGAGGAAACTTTATATTTTTTAACTGTATCTCTGAAGATTATTTGTTCAAAATAGAGATTTGAAGCAAATGTGACAAAGTATTAAGATTCGATGATGCTGGGTACATAGTAGTTCTCTATACCAGCGGTCCCCAACATTTTTGGCACCAGGGATCAGTTTCATGGAAGACAATTATTCCACAGACTAGTGGTGGAAGTGGGGGCGGTGTGGCGTGGCAGGGGCGGCCTGGTGCGGATGCACAGCCCGTTTCCTAACAGGCCACGGACTGGTACCGGGCCATGGCCCAAGGGTTGGGGACCACAGCTCTGTACTCTTTTCCAATCTTGTCTGTAATCATGAACTATTTAGTAATATAATACCTTTTTAATGTTCCCTTTTATTTTTAACTTCAAAATATTAATTGAGGGGGTACAAGTATTTTGTTTCATGGACATCTTTTATAATGCTTAAGTCAGGGTTTTTGGTGTGCCCATTTAATGCTCCCTTTTCCTTCCCCCCACCCCCCCCTTCAGAGACAGGGTCTTGCTGTGTTGCCCAGGCTGGAGTGCAGTAGCTTGATCATAGTTCACTGCAGCTTCTAACTCCTGGGCTCAAGTAATCCTCCCACTTGGGCCTCCCAAAGTTCTGGGACTAGAGGCGTGAGCCACTATGCCCGGCCCCCTTTTCCCTCTTCTTACGGGCTAAAGATAACTTTTCACACCTTTAGTTCTTCCACAGTGCCCTGTTGGAGGATTATATAATGTTTTTGCCTCCATTTCTTGATTTTTTTATTTTCATTTTTTTAAGAGATGGAATCTCCCTGTGTTGCTCAGGCTGGACTTGAACTCCTGGCCTCAAGCTGTCTTCCCGCCTCAGGCCTCAGCTTCCTGAGTAGCTGGGACTACAAGTGCATGCCATCACGCCTGGCTTGTTCTTGATTTTGAACTTCAGAGAATATCTCTTGATTCCCTAGTGTGAATGCACCTGTGGGGTAACACTCAAACAGTAGGGAAAGGTATAAAATGAAAAGTAAAATGACTTCTTCCACTAGTCCCACCTCTGTGTGTGTCCCCTAACCAGAAGGGTACTTAAAACAATTTCTTGTATGTCTAAGTAGTATGCTTTCAGTCCTTTACTTTTTACTGAAGGAAAGGCATCTATTTCACAAAGAGAAACAGTGGGTGTCAGCAGACTTGGAGAAGTCTTTTAGCATTAGCCAGAGGGACAGAGATCTTCCTTAGTCTCTAAAGTCCTACTTTGCTGAAAGTGGTTTATTGACTTGGCTTTCGTTTCCCGACACTTTGTCGGGGTGTCTAGAGGGCCGGCTGTGGTGGGCCAGGACTGAGCCCTAGACCATGACCCTGAGTACAGCCTCTGTTCTCTTCTCCAGTGTCATTTTAATGGTTTTCTTGTGCCATTTATTTAACTGGTTCCTCCCTAATGAACATAAAGGTAACTTCCAATTTTTTGTTATTGGAAACAAAATTTAATGATCATCCTGTGGCCAGTCACTGCACCTTTGCTCAGTTATTTCTTGAGAATTTCATAGAGATGGACAGACACATTTGTAGGAAAAAAAAAAAACCTTAATACATTTTGCTAGATTGCCTGCTAGAAAAATTTTGCCTGTTAATGTGTATGGGACCACCCCCAATTTTTCCCACCCACTGGTCAGTGCTTACCATTATAAAATTATTTCCTGTGCTTCAGAAGTAAAGCACGATCACTGTAAACAGTAACAAACCTTATGGAATTGGACGATGCAGGAGGCTAAGCCCACTCATCTCATCTTCCAGAAAGAACCAATATATTGTCTAATATATTTGCCAACACCAACATTAAGACTAATAAGTTCAAAATGAGATTATATTGTATCTTACTGTCTTACAGCTTTTTCTACTTGTCCATCCATGTTATGTGTGTACATATCTCTGCACTATTCCTGAGCATGTCATGTCTTATCATTTTCCTGTTGATGAACGTGTTACCGTTTCCATCAATGCTGCAACGAACATCATTGTTCAATTTCTCTGTACATTTGCTGATTTATGTGGTTAATTTTATAGATGCGGAATGATTGGATCAATAGTGTAGACATTTGAAATTTTCATAGGCATTGCTACATTGCTGCCCATAGGCTCACGCTGTTTTACCCTGCTATCGGCAGTATATGTGGGACTGCTTGTTTGCTATGTCATTGTCAGTACTGGCTGTGGTTATTTGAAAAACATCTTTGCCAGTGTTATAAGCAACAAATGCATTATCATGTTCTTATTTTATTTGTTTTTGAGTTGATCTTTATTTTTTCTCCAGCTTTATTAATATATAATTGACAGATAAAAATTGTATATATTTACGGTGTACAATGTGACGTTTAATTGTTTTGATTTTCATTTCTTTGACAACTGGTGAGGGTGACCTTTTCCTTGTTATTTGCCGTTGCCTTTTTTTGTCTTTTTTCTTATTTGTAAGTTTTATTTATATATTAAGGATACTACCTCTTTATCATGTAGTACCTATTTTTTTTCTAGTTTCTTGGTAGCTTCCTTATTTCTTTATTTTATAAAGGTGTCATTTACATACAGTAAAATTCACCCTTTTTAGTGAGTTCTGTGCATTTTGACAAATGCATATAGTTGTGTAACCATCACCACCATCAAGAATCAGACGGTTTCCGTCAACCTCCAAAGTTCCCGGTAGCCACTCACTCCCCCACCTCCATTTTGCCTGTTTTCTGTCTCTATAGTTTTGTCTTTGCAAGAATGTCATGAAAATGGAATGATATAGTATGTACTCATACTCATGTCTTGTTTCGTTCACTCAGCATAACACGCTTGACTCGTGTTGTTGCGTGTGTCCTCGTTATTGCATGTATCCTAGTTACTTACTGTTTGTTGCTGAGTAACATTCCATTGTGTGGATGTACCAATTGTGCATCCATTTACCACCCGAGGGACATTGTTTCCAGCTAGTGTGTATGAATAAAGCCACTATAAACATCTATGTATAGGTTTTTGCCTAAACATAAGTTTTCATTTCTCTTGGATAGATATCTAGGCATGGGATTGATTGCTGGGTCATGAAAAATGTATACCTAACTTATAAGAAACTGCCAAACCAGTTTTCTAAGTGGCTGTTTTCCTAAGTGGCTGTCTCATGTGGGTAACTGTTAAATAGTGTTTATGGCATTCCCAGCCCTCCTTAGAGCAGTTACAAGTTTTTAATCAAACCTGTTCATCTTGTCTCCTTTCCTTCCTTAGCTTCTATCACAAACCATTTTCATTCTGTTCACTTGACAGTAATAGCTACCATTTAGGCCGGGTACTTTATATATCTTTCCTGATCTGCATAACATCCCTGCATGGTAAACCTCAGTGTCCTCATGTGACAGGCAAGGAAACTGAAACTCAGGTCACACAGCTTGCCCAAGATCAGCTAGTAAACGGCAAAGCTCCGTCTGAATCCGGAGTCTGTGCTGCCTCCCTGGCCCCATTGTACCCCCATTAATGGAGGATTTTTGCTCCTTTCCATGTGGCCTCTGTTAATCACATGTGCCGTTTTCTTTTTTTCCTTAAAATTTTTATTTATTTATTTAGAGACTGAGTCTCATTCTGTCACTCAGGCTGGAGTGCAGTGGCTCACTGCAACCTCAAACTCTTGGGCTCAAGCGATCCTCCTGCCTCAGCCTCCCGAGTAGCTGGGACAACAGGCATGCACCACCACACCTGGCTAATTTTTAAAATTTTTTGTAGAGATGGGGTCTCGCTATGTTGCCCAGGCTGGTCTCAAGTCCCTGACATGCTGTTTTCAAGGCTACACTGGAGCCTGTCAGGTTAATGTGCCAACCTTGTTTCCAGAGTTTTGCCAGGAGAGCTATTGCTGCAAAGGATTTTCCTCTATTTCCTTTTTTCTTCCCCCATCACGAGGTTAGTATACTTGTGTTTTTCATACTTTCATTTTAGAATATTAAGCATTGAGAAAAGTTGCAAGAGTAGTACAAAGAACTCCCATATACCTTGTATGGATTTGTTAGTTTTTAACATTTTGCCAGAGTTGCTTTATCTTTCTGTAGATACGACTTTTGTCATCCGAGCCGTCTGAGAGTCGATGACGTACGTTATGCCTCTTTGCCCCTCGATGCTTCTGCGCGGATTCCCTTAGAATAAGGCCATTCGCTTACATAACCACAGTACAGCTACAGCCAATTCAGGGCATTTAACGTTGATTTGGGAATTTAATCTACAGTCCGTGTTCCACTTTTTCCTGCCCATGATCCAGTCCAGGACCAGACATTGCATTTAATTGTACTGTCTCTTTCATCAGCCTTTGTTAGTCTCATGATGTATTCGAAGTGTAAGGTCTGGCTAGTTATTTTACAGAATGTTTCTCATTGTGGGCTCAGCTGAGTTTCCTTATTAGATTCAATTTGTGTTTTTTAGCTGGAAATTATTGCATAATCTGTATCTCATAACAAAAAAAATCCAGATGGGGGCCCTTGTATCCAACAGGGAAGACTTGCAACCAACTGGCCTCCAGCACCCCCTACCATGAAGGAGGAAGAAAGCAGTGAGGAGGAGGCCGCGGCAGCTGCCACTTCTCAGGAGCCAGAGCCTGTCCCTACAGAGCTGGACAGAGTGCAAACGCCAGAGCCCGTGGAGGACTTCCCCAAGCATGAGGACCAGGAGGGTTCCTCGCCAGAAACGAGCCTGCCCTACAAGTGGGTGGTGGAGGCAGCAAACCTCCTCATCCCTGCAGTGGGGGCCAGCCTCTCTGAAGCCCTGGACTTGATTGAGTCGGTATGTTGGTCACAGCACTTCACAGTGGGCACAGAGCACCCCCCAGGTGGGAGTGCTTCTCTTAGGGGTCTGCATCTGCCTGTTCACTCCACAATCCACTAATGATTGCTGACTTGATGCCAAGTACTCCACCCTGAGCCAGGGCCTGGGGGTACCGAGGTAGTCACCATGTGGTCCCTGCTCTGGGGAGCTCCCAGTGAGCAGCAGGCTGCAAGGTGTGTGGTGGCACCTGACCTAGGGGTTCAGCACAGATTAGGGAAGGAAGGCTACCCGGAGGAGGTGGCGCTGCACTGAGTCCTCAAGGATGACTGGCAGAGAGTAGTGTGGTGTTTGTGGCACCACACGTGGTTGGGTCTCCCTGGAGAGGAGCCCAGGAAGTGCCAGGGCTGGGCTGCGTCTGTAGCAGTGAGCGGGTTCTGTTTTCTCAGGGGGGAGCAGCCCCTGAAGCCACGCTGTGGTGACCTCGCTGGCTGGGGTGATTCGTGTTTGTTCTTAGAAGCTTGATGACTTGGGGCAGATCACATGCCCTTGGGCCCAGGTTCTTCGGTATGAAAGTGGGGAAAGTGATGCTTCCCTAGCAGGGTTGTTGAAGTGCCCCAAGGAGGCACCAGTGATGGGTGGGCATCTCATCTACTGCTCGGTGTTTTGCTCTATAGAAATATAGAGACGTAGGAAGCTCTTTGAGGAAATGCAGGCAATGTTACTGATCAGTCCGGCGCTGCGGAATCATATTGGACACTGCGTATTTCCCTTTAGTGACAAAGTCCTGTCGTATTAAAAGCAGAGTAATTGCAGTTCTACCCAACCTCCCTCTCTGGGCAGGACCCCGATGCTTGGTGTGACCTGAGTAAATTTGACCTCCCCGAAGAGCCGTCTGCAGAAGGCAGTATCAACAACAGCCCGGCGCGGCCCCAAGCATCGCAGCAGCAGGCCCTGCTGCCCCGCCAGCCTGCCGCCCCGGTACCCAACATGACCGAGTACCGCCTGGACGGCCACACCATCTCGGACCTGAGCCGGAGCAGCCGCGGCGAGCTGATCCCTATCTCTCCCAACACTGAAGTCGGGGGCTCAGGCATGGGCACACCGCCCTCCATGCTTAAGAGGCAGAAGAAGAGGCGTGTGGCTCTGTCCCCAGTCACAGAGAATAGCGCCAGCCTGTCCTTCCTGGACTCCTGCAACAGCCTCACCCCCAAGAGCACACCCGTCAAGACGCTTCCCTTCTCACCCTCCCAGGTGCGTGGACCCCGCTCCAGCTGCTTATCGGGTTCAGTTTACAGACACCCAGTGCCCAACACAGGGCCTGGCACACACCAGCCAGCCAGTGTTCACTGAGCACCTGCTTTGTGTCTGGCCTTGTGCTCAGCATTGGGAACACAAGGATGGGCAAAAACAGACCTGGCCCTGCCCTCATGGAGCTTACGCTCTGGTAGGAGCACCAGTTAGTAAATTTAAAAAGACCCCAACCCAAATGTGACAAGTAGTATGAAAGAGAAGGCTCACGGTGCTATCCCTGTGTCTAGTCTGGAGAGATCCAGGAAGACTTCCAGGAGGAGGAGGAATTGCTCGAGCTGAGGAAATAGTAGATGCTAACTGGGCAATGAAGAGGAGAAAGAGAATTGGTCATGTTTGTCAAAGGCATCCATTTGTTGAACCTAAATCTGTTCATAGCAGATTTGCCAGCATGGGGGAGCAGAGGTGAAGACGACACAGGCCAGCCAGTGCTGGGGACAAGCTTGTAATGAGTTAACCAGAATGCAGATGGGGAGCGGCTGTGGTGACAGCAATTGTGAAGCTCTCTACTGTGTTCTGGGTACTGCCCCCAGGGCTGTTTGTAATATACACAGAAAGTCCATGGGGAGAGCTGGGAGGGGTGCCAGGGTCTTTCCTAGAGGTCGAGGAGGTGCTCGGGCTTCCTGGAGAGTGGAGTCCAAGCTGGGTCTCCTCAGTCACCTCCAACAAAGGCCCAGACACAGGGAAGGACAGGATGGAGGTGAAGGCCAGAGCCAGGATTTGTGGGGCAGAGGCCTTGGAGGGCTTTGGGTCTCCCTGGGCCTGCTCCTCCTGCGAAGCTGTGGGAGACAGCGAGGCTGACGACGCATGTTGCAGGAGGTCACCCCATCACCTGCTGGGGAGGGATCGAGGCTCAGCCTACTGGTTGGGGTGGCTAGTGGTGTTTCTGAGAGAGGCCCTGTATCGGTTTGTGTGGGCTGCTGTAGCAGTACCACGGACTGGGTGGCTTAGACAATAGACATTTAGCAGCCTTGGTGTCTCCGGAAGCCTTTCTCCTTGGTTTGTAGATGGCCGTCTCCTCCCTGTCTTCATATGATCCTCCTTTGTGTGTCTGTATCTTAATCTCTCATCTTGTCTTTTAGAACCTCTTATTTTATATCTTCTTACAAAGACACCGGTTTTTGGATTAGGCCTGCCCTAATGACTTCATTTCAAGTTAATTACCTCTTTAAGGGCCCTAGCTCCAAATACAGTCCCATTCTGAGGTGCTCCGAGGGTTAGGACTTCAATATGTAAATTTGGGGGGACATAGTTCAGCCCATGCCACATCCCATGTGAGGTCCACTGGCTGGAAGGAAGACAGCAGAGCTCTGAACTGCCCAAATGGCAGCCCAGGATGGTGGGGTGTGGTGGTCGCCCTGCTCCAGAGACCCCGTACAGGGCGGTGGCCCTCAGGGCTGCAGAGCACCTTCAGGGCAGAGAGGGAGGAGAAGATGGTGCTTTTAGAGCATGGCCATTGGTTCAGATCTGGATTTGAGTCTCACCTCTAATACTCAGTGCAAGAATCTAAACCTCTCTAAGCCTCGATTTTCTTATCTGTAAAAGGGGAATAGTAATAGTAGCCTGTGTCTCAGGATTTGTGGAACCAGATGAAATTATCTGTGTAAGGTGCTTAGCTCTGGCACGAGAAGGGGCTCTCTAAATAGTAACCTCACCACCATCGCCACGCCCTGTGCCTTCGCAGGTCGGTTAACACATTGACTGCCATGCTAGGAAAGAAAGGTCTTTCCCTGGGGCCATGGTGTTTTATTAAAACAAAATGATCCTTTCTAATTTGTTTTTTATTTTCTTTGTGTGAGTTATATGCAATGCAATCCACATTTTAAGAATTAAATTGTCAGTATCAATTGTAACAGAACATCAACAAGTAAGATTTTCACAAACCAACTGCAGGGTTTTGCTTCACGAGGCCCCCGGCTCAAGACTAGCCTGAGTTTTGACCAAGCCACGTGGCAGCATGTTAAGGGCTATTTTTATTTCTTCTGAAAAGGAGCTGCTCTCCCGCAGTCGCCTTTCTTTGCCGCCAGTGTCCCGTCGGCAGCAGGCCAGAGTAGAGATGGCAAGGGCTGGGGATAGGGGCAGTGGTGAGCCTGGGGTCTCCACGAACCTGCTTGGTGGGCTCCTGTCGCTCTGTCCTGGTCCTTGTTCTCTGGTGCCGGACAGGTTAGGAGGGGACCTCCATGTCAGAGAGCAGACATGTTGCAGGGAGGGGCTCAGGGGTCTCTCCACTGCCCCCTCAGGAATCCACATGCAGGTCATTTGGTCTTGTGTCTTCTCTCTTCCCTGGCAGTTTCTGAACTTCTGGAACAAACAGGACACGTTGGAGCTGGAGAGCCCCTCGCTGACGTCTACCCCAGTGTGCAGCCAGAAGGTGGTGGTTACCACGCCCCTGCACCGGGACAAGACGCCCCTGCACCAGAAACACGCGGCGTGAGTGCTCCGCTGCCCACCTGTGGCTTCCCCAGCTGTGGCCAGCCCGGGGCCCCAGGACCACTGGTTGGGAGTGGGGAGCAGTAACCTTGGAAAAACTCTGCAGCCTGTGTTCAAGAAAGCGTCCTCCCTTCTGGCCTCATGTTTTGTCATTTTTATCAATATAGTCTAAGGCTGCACCTTTTGCTTTTACTCATATTTATTTTTAAACTTGAAAATTTTTTTAATCTCAGGAAGAGAGTCAAAATTGCCCCCCAAAACATAATCTCTTTTCCCCTTTTATGAGTTTCAAGTGCAAATCCATTGGTGTTTTTTTTTTTAATATATATATTTATTTTTTTCTACTGGGTACACGTAGCCTTTGGTGTAAAATGAAGATGTGTTCCCCAAGTGCATTGCATTTGAGTAGCCTTCTGTGCAAGAAGAAAGTGCCCTGCTCTCTCCCTCTCTGCCTCCCCACACTCCGAGCTCGCAGAGCGTAGTGTTTCTCATCCCAAAGCCCATGCAGGTTGCTCACCGGCCTGCTTGCGTGGAAGTGCTTTCACAGTAAGTTTACCTCCTTGGGTCGTCATGACTCCGAATTCCACAGTTGCTTAACTGTTCTCTGCTTACTGCATTTGCTGCAGGAGAAGCATTGCTGTTATTTCATGAGTAAGTTATGTGATTCAGGAATCAGTTCAGGGCCAGGCATGGTGGCTCAAGCCTGTAACCCCAGTGCTTTGGGAGGCCACGGCAGGAGGATCTGAGACCAGCGTGGGCAACATAGTGAGATCCCATCTCTACAAAAGATAAGAAAAATTAGCCGGACATAGTGACACACGCCTATAGTTCCAGCTACTTGAGAGGTTGAGGTGGGAGGATCCCTTGGGCCCAGGAGTTTAAGGTTACAGTGAACTGTGATGGCACCACTGTTATTCTAGTCTGGGCGACAGAGCAAGACACGGTCTCTTTAAAAAAAAGGAGGCCACGCACGTTGGTTCACGCCTGTAATCCTAGCACTCTGAGAGACTGAGGTAGGATGATTGCTTGAGGTCAGGAGTTCAAGACCAGCCTAAGCAAGGGTGAGACCCTATCTCTACTAAAAATAGAAAAATTAGCTGGGTGTCCTGATGTGCTCCTGTAATCCCAGCCACTTGGGAGGCTGAGGCAGGAGGTTTGCTTGAGCCCAGGAGTTTGAGGCTGCAGTGAGCTATGATGATGCCAGTGTGCTCTAGCCAGGGTGACAGAGTGAGACTCTGTCTCAAAAAAATTGAATCCCCCTTTCCACTTCTGCTTATACAAAAAAAAAAAAAGAATCAGTTCAGGAATTTTCACCCTTGTAACGATACATAATTTCATAAACAGTGAATGAATCCCTTGGTGAGAAATCAGTTTCTAAACAGTTTATCGGAAGCAAACATGGATAGGTTTTGTGAGAAGTGATTGTCCATTCAAACTGGAATCCTGGACTTTGCATCTAAGCCCTTAAACAGAGACGCTGGTGCCGTAAGGCGTTGATGCTTCCCTTTCTCCCTTCTCACCCACGTCCCTCACCTGCTGCCTCTCTCCAGCTCTGCTCTGCTGCAGCAAGAAGCATTTCCAGTGCCCTTCATTCCTCTGCAGACCGACATCTCCTTCTAGTTCCTTCTGTCTGAACGTTGCCCTTAACTTTGTACTGTGTGCCTGCCGGTGATGAGTTCTGTCAGCCTTTGTATATCTGAAGTTGCCTTAATTTTTGAAAGATATTTTTGCTGGGTATTGAGTTCTAGGTTGACAGTTGTTTTTTTGTTTAAATTTTTCAGTGCTTTAAGGATGTCCTGTCTTCTGGCTGGCAGTTTTATCTTTGGTTTTAAACAGTTTGATTACAATGCACCTTGGTGTGTTTTTCTTTGTTTCTCGTGCTTGGTGTTCACCGAGGTTTGTTCCTTCTGTTTCTGAGGAGGCCCTTCCTCTGGGCTTCTGACTTAGGCCTGTGGGGTGGGCGGGTGCTGTGGGAGGAGAACCTATGCCGGGGCCAAAGGTCAGCTGGAGGGAAGGTGGGGTCAGGGCAGCAGAGTGTCTCCTGTCTGCCCCCTATCCTATCACTGAGCATCTCTCTTGGCCCCTGGCAGGTTTGTAACCCCAGATCAGAAGTACTCCATGGACAACACTCCCCACACACCAACCCCGTTCAAGAACGCCCTGGAGAAGTACGGACCCCTAAAGCCCCTGGTACGTGGCGTGGTCGCTGCCGCGAGTCTCCGCGAGGTGCGGTCTCGTGGGTTTGTCCAACCATGCACAGTTCACAGGGCCCTTTCCTTCTGAGAATTCACTGGATTCTTCCCTCCTGAGAAGACGCAGAGCTCCTAATTATATAAATGGAGAAACCGAGGCTGCCACTTGTCACCTCACCTGACATTTCCTGAGCGTCTTCAGTGTGCCAGGCAGGCGCCGGCTGGTGCTGGTGGCACAGTGGTGTCCTGTGAAGCTCGGCCTTCAGGATGGTAGAGATGGACAGGAAACACTTAAATTACTAAAATACTTTCAGCTGACAACAAGTGCCGGGAAGCAAACGGGTAGTTCAGGGATGGAGAAGGACTTCCCAGGTGCTGCGCCTGGTTTGGAGAAGTGGCGAGTTGGCGCTCAGTCCTAAGCCTCCTGTCTGGCTCCTGGGTCTCCACAGAACACGAGGAAGCCCTGGTGGGCGTCTCCCAGCAGGGTCGGGTTGATGGGATCACGTTTTCCCCATGAAAAAAGAAAGAGCTGGCACTTGGGGCTTTCTGAAACAGGCATTTAGAAATCAGTGGAAGGTGAGAGAGGCGTGGTCGTGGAGGAGCATTGCACCGGGAGCAGGGGCTGTGGGGGGGCCTCCTGTGAAGCCTGAAGTGGCCGGGGCTGGGGCTCCCCTAGTCCTATAATGGGGTGATTCTGCATTAAGTACAGTTCCTAGGGACGTGTTGCGTGGGCGAGGTATTAGTTAGCGCTGCCCCTTCCTGCTAAAACATTAATATCTCCATCCTCCCCAGACAGGTCTGAGAGGGAAAACCTCACGACTTTGGCAGCCGTAATTAAAGCACGCAGGGGCTTTTCATGTGACCGCTGAGGCGTCGCTGTGTCCTCCATCTTCCATTCAGTAGCTCCCTGCCCTGTTCTCTGCTGCTTGAGGCCAGAGAGGTCTCTTGGAACCCCCAGGCCTGAGAAGGGGGTGGATTTGAGCATCCTCACAGTGTGGAACAGAGAAGTGGGTAGGCCTGGACTTTGAGCCAGTCCAGGTTCTAACTCAACAGCTGTGTGACCGTGGCCAGGCTCTCGGTCTCACGGGGCTGTGTGAGGGTCTCTGTGGGCCTGGGCCGCTTACTGCCACGCAGGCCCTCAGGGAGTTGAGGTTGTGGTCGGCTTGTCCAGGGCGGGACGGTTTGTGGTTGTGAGTGGTGCGTATGAGGTCAGTGTCCTGGTGCCAGGCCTCCTGCCGGCTGCCAAGACAGTCCAGGTGTGACCGGGCGTGCGCCGCTGTCCCACACCCACGCACCTGAGGGCGGTGCCTCACGTGGGCCATCCCCACCCTGCCTGCAGCCCCAGACCCCACACCTGGAGGAGGACTTGAAGGAGGTGCTGCGCTCCGAGGCCGGCATCGAGCTCACCATCGAGGACGACGTGAGGCCCGAGAAGCAGAAGAGGAAGCCGGGGGTGAGTGCGTGGGGGCGGGGGAGTTGGAGCCATGGGGGTGCTCTAGGGACAGGTGGTAGCTAGAAGGCTGGGGAGAGGGTGGTCAGCACATGTCCCCTGCCCCACAGTGGTTATCGAGGAGCTGCCATTGTAAGGTCTGATGTCTCTGGGACCCTCCTTTGCTCCCCTTTTAACTGTTCACTCGCTTACCCAGCGCTGCGTGGCGTCTGGATCCTTCCAAGGTGGGCCTGGGCTGGGTGTGGTGCACCGAGAAGCAATTAAGGCCCAGGCACTGTCTCCCCTTCAGAGCTCAGTGGGCAAGACAGACGCTAGACAGACGGGACGACTATCTGAGTTCACAGGGTATCGGGGGCAGCAGACAGAAGGCAGGGAGGAGTCCGTGGGAGTCCAGAGCGTGGGGTGGTCAGGAAGGGCCGCCGGGCAAGGCAGCACCCGGCTGGGTGTCTGCGCTGCGTGAGGCAGGGGCAGGGGGGACGGGAGTGGGTAGGGACCCCTGGGTGCAGAGAGCAGGGAAGGGATGGTCCCGAGGCTGGCACAGAAGCTGGCCCCCGAGCCAGCCTCCACCTCCAGGGCCCTCCCTGGCCTCTCCTTGGTGTGGGCCGGTGGTTCTGCGCCGTGGCAGCTCCTGCTGGGGCCCACTGCTGGGTTGGGGGGTGTTAGTCTCAGAGCCCCTCCCTGGTGTTGAAACAGACCCTAGACATGCTTATGCCTGGGGCATTCCTTGTATCAGGTGTTTCTAGAGGGGTTGTCCCAAGGGCTTTTACATTTCCACGTGACTCGTCTGTGGTGGGTGTTGTAGGTGTTGCTTAGATTCTCTCTGCTGGGCCTTAGGGGATGTGTCTGGTCCATTTGGGGGTGAAGACTGGGTTTCTTTGTGGGTGGAGGCTCAGGCTGTGTCCTTGCTCACTGTTGCAGCATCTGGCAGGACAGGGTCTGACCTGGGCACAGGGTCTATAATGGGGCCAAAGTCTCCCAGCCCCCCACACCCCGACGGCAAAGCTCTACCAGCCGGGCCTCACTTGAAGGCTCCACTGGGGCAGGACCTGGTTTTGTGACCGTCTGTGACTGTGGTCATCAGGTACTGATCATGGGAGTCCCTGACACCCACCCTGACCACCTCCTTCCTCCCCTGCCCAACCCCCAGCTGCGGCGGAGCCCCATCAAGAAGGTCCGGAAGTCTCTGGCTCTTGACATTGTGGATGAGGATGTGAAGCTGATGATGTCCACACTGCCCAAGAATCTGTCCTTGGTAAGGGGTCAGCCACCCCAGGACTGCAGAGGGCTCTTCTGCTTGGGGAGGATGGAGTCTCCTTGAATGCCTTTTGCCTTTGGAGTGGTCTAGTGATTCTCGGACTGGGCTTCTGGAACACTGGGCTGCATAGGCAGGGCCTGTCAGGGAAGGCGGGTCTGGGCTCCCACCCCTGGCTTCGTCAGCCGCTCTGCTGTGTCTTTCACAGAAGGTTCCATTTGACAGGAGTTGTGTTGTTAGAACACACTTGGAAACCATGGGTCTGGGTGTCCAGCACCCTTCCTTGCATTCTGTTCATGGGGGTGACCACAGAGAGGGTCAGTGATGTTCCTCAAGTCACAGGCAGGCGGCTGGGGACACGTCAGGCCTGGGATAGGTGCTGTCCAGCTCCCAGGCCACTGCACTTGCTGTGCCAGGCGCCACAGTCAGGCTGACCTCAGGAAGGGGGTCATTACCTATGCGGAGTGTGGGTCCCCAGAGACCATGCCATGCTGCTCCCTCTCAGCTGATGGTGGGGTGAGCCCAGCTTGCCCTGGTGCTGGGGTGGAGCCAGTGAGAGGTCATGAGCAGAGGTTGCGAATTGCCTGACCAGATCTTGCAAGTTGACTGCTACCCTCCTGGTCTCTGCAGAGAAACCTCACTCTGGCCAGGGACCCCTGCCAGGCTGGGGACTTAGTGCTCTCCAGCCAGACTGCCAAAAAGAAAAAATGTCACGGCAACGGATGAAGAGCATAGAGTTAGAGTCAGGTGGCCCTGGGTTTGAGTCCTGACACCAACACTGCTCCTTGGGGCCTTTCAGGTTCCCTGAGCCCCCATTTATTTGGCTATAAAAGGAGCCCTGAGACCAGGCTCATGCCTGTAATCCCAGCACTTTGGGAGTCCAAGGTGGAAGGATTGCTTGAGGCCAGGAGTTCGAGACCAGCCTGGGCAACATAGTAAGACCCTGTCTCTACAAAAAAAATAAAAGAATTAACTGGGTAGAGTGGCACGTGCCTGTAGTCCCAGCTATTCAGGAAGCCCAGGCGGCAGGATTGCTCAAGCCTGGGAATTGGAGGTTGCAGTGAGCAGTGACTGGGCCACTGCACTCTAGCTTAGGCAACAGAGTGAGACCATTTCTAGGAAGAAAAAAGGAGCCCCGAGGGCAAAGTGAGAAGCAGAACAGAGGCTGGAACGCACAGGAGGTGCCTGGTGCAACTCTGCTGTGTTTGCAGGGTGCTGCTGCCTCTTTCCGATGCTTGTGGATGTTTCTGGCACTGGGAGGAATAGGAACAGCCTTGGCTCTGCCTGAGGCTGCCTGTGCAAGGAGCAGCAGTATCGAGCACGTGCTGGGTGTCAGGCTCCGGAAAGGGCACTGCACAAATGTTTTCTTGGTCTTGCAAGTTAAAAAGTTCTTTAGAAAAAGATTAAGTTCCTTGCTTAATCTTTTAAGTAAGAAAGTAAGATTTGTGTAAACCCCCCATCTGGAAGAGGAAACTGAGGCGTAGAAAGAGTGCCTCCCACTCCAGATCTCAGCAGCCAGGAGGGGTGGCACTGGGGTGGTGCCGCAGGGCACTTTTTCTTCCCACTGAGAGCTTGTGGCAAAGTGGCAACTCTTTAACTTGGTTTTGATTTCAGCCTACAACTGCCCCATCCAGCTCCTCCAGCCTCACCCTGTCAGGGATCAAAGGGGACAACAGCCTGCTCAACCAGGGCTTCCTGCAGGCCAAGCCCGACAAGGCAGTGGTGGCCCAGAAGCCCCGAAGCCACTTCCCGACACCTGCCCCCGTGAGTGCTGCCACACTGCCCTTCTCACCTCAGGGCCTTTGCACAGGCTGTTCCCTCTGCCTGGAAACTCCTCCTGCAGCCCTCCTGTGGCTGTGTTTGCTGGGCTTACTCTTCTGATCTCAGTCCAAATGCCACTTCCACAGGGAAGCCTTCCCTGACTCCACATACTGGAGAGGCCCCGCTCATTCCCACCTGGGTCTCACTTGTAACCAAGTCAGTACGTCTGTGTTTGGTTTCCTCCGTGCACGTGTGTGCTCAAGGGTGGGGGCTGGCCTGGGCTGCTCGCGTCTCTGTGGCTTTCTCATGAGGCTGGTGCTGCACTGGGGGCACGGCCGTGTCTCTTGTCCAGCCTCCTGCTTTACCGTGAGGAAGCCCACAGCTGGGGAGTGACATCCCCGGGGCACCCAGGAAGGTAGAGCACAGAAAGCTGCTGGCTTCTAGAGGGAGGGAGGCTCCTAGAAGTGCCCTTGACCCCTCCCTGGCCAGGATTGCCTGGGTTTGCTGGGAGCCCGTTGTCCCTGCCTGGGTGGTAACCCTCTTGTCTCCTGCCAGATGACCAGCGCCTGGAAGACAGTGGCCTGCGGGGGGACCAGGGACCAACTCTTCATGCAGGAGAAAGCCCGGCAGCTCCTGGGCCGCTTGAAGCCCAGCCACACGTCTCGGACCCTCATCTTGTCCTGAGGGGCTAGGCGGTCACGAGCCCGTTTTCATGTTTACAGGGACTGGGGGGCAGAGGGGATCTGTGAATTTGAGACTCACACTCAGGTGACCACCCGCCTGCAGGGAGCCTCCTGCTGCCACCCCCTCCCAGTCTGCTCAGGTCGGGGCAGGAAGGCCGCACACTGTCCTGTCGCCCAGTCCGGCTGCAGGCGGTTCCTGGTGCTAACAGAACAAGGCCCCACTCCTGGGCCTGCCTGGTTCCCTCCCCAGTGCCACAGGGAGCCCAGTTAGTGACTCCCAAGCCTGGGTCAGGCCTGGTCTCATCTCAGACCCTGCTTAGGACAGGGGACGCGGCAGGGTTGCTCCTTCCCTCAACTCCTTTTGGTGCATTTTCTTGGAAGAATAAAATCGCCTCTCTCCTTGTGCTGCTCTGGCTCTACCTTCCTTTTGGGCACCGCTCGTGGTTCCCTGGTGACTGTCCTCAGGGATGTGGGGACCTGGGCTCTCATCCTGAGTGCAGGCTTGTCCGCACGGCCTCGGCCTGGGGGCCGTGGACCCTTCTCCCCTAGTGAGCTGGGAGCAGTTTTTGTCTCTGCCCAGTGGGCACCTGCAACGCTCTGAGGACTCTCCACCATGGGGTGGGGGCGGGCGGAGACGGGGCAGGCAGAGGAGGTCAGTGGGATGGTGCAGTAGGCCCTTGGCCCTCGCCATGGGTGGCTCACCTGGTCTCCAACGAGCCCCTGCCCTAAGCTGAGCCCAGCCCCTGAGTCAAACTGAACGAGGAGGAGGAGGAGGAGTGACAGGCACTGGGCAGAACCTTCGAGCCACAGTGGCCAGGGCTGAGGAGGGCCGGAACTCCTTCCCTAGTGGCCCTAAATCCCTGAGTTGTGGCAGCAGTTGCAGCCTGGACTGTTGCCTGCCCTGGTACTTGGCTGTAGTTGGGAGGAGTCACGGGGTTGAAGAGGGGGTGATGCCAAGCCTGCGAAGGCTGAGGTCGGGAAGTGATGTTTTCCACAGTGGGATTCCTGGGGCGGCATACGTGGCCATCCCTGAGGGCCGAGGTTGAGTGGGCCTAGGCAGGCCCGACCTGGCTTCAGAGCCTCACTCCCAAGGGAGATCCAGCAGGTTCTCTCCCGGGGCAGGAGATGCAGACATCTGTAACGCGGCGAGGACTGTGAGTTAGGATGCTGGGGTTCACGTCTGTCTGGCCTCTCACACCCCCACCCTGCCGAGCTCACGCAGCCACACCCAGTCATGCCCTCTTTGGCCTGGCTGTGCCCCAGTTTCTGCTCTGGAGCTGAGGAGGGGACAGAGTTCTGCTTTTCCTGCCCTGCTTCCTGCAGCCCATGTAGAGGAGCTGGATGCTCCGGTAGGTTCCATTGCTGAACCACACCAGCCTCACGCCCTTTGCGATTTCTCAGCCTGGAACCCATTGCCTCCCCAACTTCTCCAGGCTCCGTCAACTGGCTGCTCCCAGCGTGCCATGGCCACCGGCCCACGGGGCTGTCAGTGCTGGATGGCCCCTGCCCTGCCGCGAGGATGGGGACTGGGTTGCCTCTGTCTCCCAGGGCTCACCAAGGCTGTCTGGGGAACACCTTCCATTTGCATATTATCTGTGGCTGCTCTCACGTTACAATGGCAGGACTGAGTAGTGACAGAGACCGTGTGGCTGGCAAAGCCTAAAGTACTTATGATCTGGCTCTTTACAGAAGTTTGTCAACCTCTGAGTTAAACAATACGTTTTAGCCTTTCCATATCAGTACAGAAATGGCTTCCTCACTTTCTTTGAAGGCAGAATACTATTTTATTGTGTGGTTGCACTATAATCAGGTCCTCTTAACAGATACTTAGTCCATTTCTGACCCCCCCCCATTTTTTAAAAAGAATGGGATCTCACTATGCTGCCCAGGCTGGACTCAAACTCAAGTGATCCTCCTGCCTCAGCCTTCAGAGAAGCTAGGATTACAGGTGTGTGCCACCACATCCAGCTCATTTCTGACCTTTTGCTGCTACAAATAACACTGCAGTGAATAACCTGTACTTACCTCATTTTCCACATGTGTAAATATATTTCCACACGTTTAAATATTTTCATGGAATGAAGTCCCAGAAGTGGGATTCCTCCATCAAAGCCTACGCACATTGATAATTTTTGTAGCTATTTTCTTTTTTTTTTTTTTTTTGAGACAGAGTCTCACTCTTTTGCCTGGGCTAGAG